TACTCAGCGAATCCCTGGAGCGAGGAGGACCCACTGGGCTACTCTTGCACGCGATAGGGAAAAATGGAAGTGTTGCTGGTACCAGCTAGAGTCACTCGACGATCAACGGGACGACAGGTGATACAGGTGATTCTGGAATGAGAGTTTCAACTTTAGCTTTATGTAATAAATAAAGCCTCTTCATTTGTACTCAGCTACAAGTTTTTTTTGTGTTGGTCCGCAGCTCATTTGCTATCTATGACTGATGATGTCAACCAGCCTACTGAAGGTGTACCCCTTGTTAAAAAAGAAAACGCCCGTTCGATTCACTACCAGTTTCCAAGAGTTTTAGGATTCGCCCTAAATATTCTCAGGGGACACTGACGTTCCTTCGATCTCAGGATGCGACTTTCAACCCGATTACATCACTATTAAATTGTTAATTTCTTCTATGCTCTCATTGTGGATTCACTCTCTGAGATAGTCGTTCTGTTTCTTATCCGTACATTTTCCCCCATTCAACTTCTGCCGTTTTTCTCAAGAGTTCTAGATTGCATCACTGGCAGCTTCGGACGTCATTTCTTTTTATATATCCTAAAATGTGAGTTTCGATTTTAGAGGCATGTATTGAATACAAGCCTCTTAATTTGTCCCCAGCTCCGGTTTTTCGAATTGATGTTCAACTCATTTGCTATCTATAATCAATCGTGTGAACCAGCTTACTGGAGATGTACCACGTGATGAAGAAAAAAAAAGGCCCGCTCGATTCACTACCACTTTCCAACAGTTTTAAGATTCGTCTCAAATACTCTCAAGAGGCACTGGCATCTCTTCGATCTCAGGATGTGACTTTCAACCAGATTACATCATTATGAAGTTGCTTATTTCCCCTCTGCTCTCGTCGTGCATTTCTTTTCGCTTCATTCACTCTCTAAGATAACCGTTCGGTTCTATATCCGAACATTTTCCTCCATCCAACTAAAACCTTTTTTTTTCAAAAGTTCTAGATTGCATCATGAACAGCAGTTATTTGTTTTTTATATATCTTAGAATGTGAATTTCATTTTCAGTTCGGAAATGAATATGAACATTTTCATTTGTTGCCAGCTCCCATTTTTTTGCGTCAATGATCAGATCGCTTGCTATTTTTGATTAATGCTATGAATCAGCTTACTGAAGGTGTAGCAGTTGTTCACGATGACATACGAAAGTGCTTTCGTTTAGGAAGACTTCATTTATGACCATAGAGTCAGCTGAAATATAGGGATTGTTATGACAGGTTTATTTCACTTAGCTACATTTGACGAGTGCTGTCGCGGTGACGTCATAGGGACAAAGTCTGTTTTCCTAGATTCTTTCAAACTTTTCCTTATAAGACTTTTTTCAATTTCGACATTAGCGCTTTCATTCTGCTTCTCTTCTGCACTTTTCATAATTCATCCTCTCACTATAGTAACACCTAGGAAACCATATTTATTTCATTAAGTAAAGAGTCCATCAGAATCTAGCACATTCACTCATTTCTTAAGATATTCTACACATCATTATATACCACTTGGTTCACAAAAGTTGCCAAAGTTGAAGGAAGTTTACAGTTTATCGTTTGCAAGAAAAGTATTGCATCATCATTGGTTTTCTTCTTGTATGACGTTTTTTTTTTTCGCCATCGTAAATGTCGATTCACTGATGCTTTACCGATGCACATTAGCTTCGTTTTCTTAGCTGTCACAGTTCGTTAGGATTGTGATTTTGAGCTGATTTTGCAGTTTAGTGAACAAAAAAGTTTTTTGTAAGCACAAACTAGTCAGTCTCTGTTGCTCTTGAACGCTATGATAAAATGAGAAGTGCAATGAAGTATCTGACTTGAGATACCTCTTAACCCTGGATACTGGAGACTTTGTTGTCTGTCAATCACTATCCAGGTTTTTTTGAACAGTAGCGAAGCAAATAATGGCGCACATAATGTATGTCTCTAATTAGGCTAAGTTTGTCTTACAATGCTCTCAGGGCTATGCGATTCACAATTTAACGGAAGTATAGTAACTGCTGGTGACTACATGACACCCGTTGCACAGGGTAGACCTTAACCCTTTTATGACGGCGTGTATTCATTTGGGTACACGATTTTCCAAAGGCCTTTCTTACTGGAAATAGCTTCTTCCATAAACTTTTTGTGACTGCTGGTGGGCTTGGATTTCGGCAAGTTCAATAATGTCATTAGATTCAGAAAGACCATCGTAAATATGTTATAGCAGTAAAAGTAATATTATATTTCATACTCAGTTTGCTTTACTTTCTCGATTGTGGTGCATGGTGGTTTTTTGCTGGACTTTCAGTAATCATTCGATAGCTCAATCTCGACGATTTTGATGCTATAATTTGTTTAAGAAAGTCTACATTGAACACCGTAAGAGTGAAAATAATACGTTTCGCATTCGGAGTTACTTCGTAAATAAGAGTGACTTTGACCAAAAACATCTCACTACGTAGAGAAGACCATAGAGTAGCAGAGTGACACAAAAAACATAAGGTTTTCTTTCGGAATGGGGTCAAAACACTAATTAAGTAACGAGAATCGCACACCGCTTGCGTGTGCTATCAATCAACTGCTGTCTCGAAACGGTTGAATATGACTGCAAGCGCAATGTATGTGACACGGAGAAGGTTTTAATTGCGTTCGAAATACTCACTTTTTGTCACACCCTCATGTTCGTGACATGCACGTGACAACTTTTCTGAGCGCATTCCTCCATTACCGACTTATCTCTCTTATTTTATGGATCGTAAAATGAATATATGCAATAGCAAATCAATTTCGAATCGAGTACATTTTCTTGTGAATGGAAAATTCTAAATAAGTACTTGCGATAATAGGTGCGTACATCACAGTAGTTACAGGATACCCTGAGGTACTGATGGGTCAATCGTTGAATCCCTCACTCTCGGCTCATCATGCCTGCCATCACTCCGAGGTCCTAAAAATAAATGGCAGACATGTAGAATGACAAAGTCCCTGAAAGTTACTTTAAGATGAATATGCATATCCACATTTGTAGAATGCTCAACGAAATCACATGGAAAGGATATCCGTGAGGGACTGATCAATTTTGGTTGCTCTATCCTTTATGCAAACTCATAGAAGTGGAGTTCGGCTTATTCAAATCCTTAATGTAGTTCCCTTATTAGATAAAAGGTGTTTGTTGCACACAAGGAACTGGTACTTTCATAACGTGTTTTTCTATACAGCGTAAGTCAGAATCGGATAGTTTTTCTTCTTGGTGTTCTCAGCTGGACGCGAAGTGCACACTCCTATAATCTTTTTTTATTTGCGATTGTTCGTATTCGTGCAATTTAATCTAACCATATGACAACGTCTCATTATCACTGTGTGTCATTTCGTAACACACGAGAATACATGTCCAGAATCTTTTAATATTCAAACTTACTTCCATATAAGATAAAAGCGTCCGTAGCTATGCTATTCCTCAAAACGTTTCGTGTCGTGTTTTGAAAAGTTACATTAAAAAGTTGCGAATTTTTCCAAGAGGGAGTCTATTTATCCCCGACGGAGCTTTTGATCAAATCGCACAAAATCCTCTCTCATCCTTTTTTTGGCTTCTCATAGTGCTTTATAAATCTACATCTTTTTAGGACGTGTTTTCCTGCCACCATTATACCTTGTTCTTCTGTGCTATAAGCATTAGTACAAGTAATGAAAGGCCGACATAGCGTATCAATGAAAGAGGTAACTCTGTTGATAAGGTTATTCGATAAGAGGAAATCTGAAGAGATTTCCTTGTTACCGCATGAGGCTCCATTATTTCATTTTAGTCCTCTAAATCCCCGTCGTCTCCCTTTCCCCTCTTATCACAGTTCATTTTCTTAGTTTAATGACGTGAAAGCCTACTGAAGATCTTAATGAAATCTCTAGATAATCTTAATGTCCGAAAAAACGTTTTCTACGTGAAAGATTGAGCTTTATAGATTTGAACGCTTTCTAACAAGCTAACTGAACAGCTAGCCGTCCTGTTTGTAGTTACCAGACTTCACCAACAGCAGTGTTAGTCTTCTCAGTGTGATAATTATCTTCTTGGAGGTTTAAAAGAGAAGCCATCACTTGTTTTTCCGCAAATGGAAGTACGCAATTTCAAGCGCCTTTCCATCGTGCTCTTAGGCTTAATGTTTACGTGAACTTCTTTTAGGCGTTCTGAGAAAGGGGACATAATATATCTTATATGCAATACGTATATCTCCAATGATAACGACATCGCGCAATTTTTATGCGCTGCTCTTATTAGGCTTAGACGAAGTTGATACTAGTAATCGTTGTAGTTGCTGCTCTTGATGCCGTTCCATGGCTAAGGTTTAGGCGACTTTGCCTTTTATGGAAACCGGGCATATTTTTTTCAACGTTTTTCACTTACGATACAATAGCTATAGAAGTAGTGAAGATTTGTTCGAGCAATGAACGACCTTTTTAAAAAGAAAAGGTGCTTGTACTAAAAGTTCATGTGAAAGCGATGATGTCGTATCGAAAGGAAATTTACACGAAAGACGAGCTGGCTGCCATGACTACTCATTTGTGTCCGTGCTAAATTTGCAACTAGACAGGTTGATACTCTTGAGTATGGGAAAAAGGAAAACAACAGTTATTTGTGAATTTACTGCTACAGTGTTCACCATTTAGAGGGCTCAGACTGCTAGTTTCGTTCATCGATGCCTCTTTATCGCAAGTGACACGATTCCTTTTCTCCGTTTGATTTTTTGATCCGGGCGGGTTTGAAAGTCATATCACGTGAACAACACAGCAGCAACACGGGTATTCTCACAGTTTACACAGAGCTGCGTAGTTTTTCGTTGACAAATGGGTGTTCATTTTTATAACAGATGTTCCATATATACCTTTCCATATATACCTGAGAGAATTGATTGGTGAGCAAAAACAACTTGTTAAATCTGTTAAAGGTTGGTGACTGATAAGTAACGTAGAGATGTTGAAGAATGAGTGGTGACGCAAATGTGCCTCTGTGGTATAGTGTAGTAGCACGCGTCCTCGGTATGGATTCAACGAGGGTTCGATTCCTGCCTGAGGCCGCCTTTTTGCTTACCACTCAGTTCTCTTATGTATATTTGTAACGTCATAACACTGCGAAAAAGCAGTAAAAATACTAGAATTTTGAAGTATTACATCTAACAGATGTTCATCACTACTATTACCTGTCATCTGTCGTCCCGTTGATCGTCGAGTGACTCGAGCGAGTACAGCAACTCTTCCATTTTTCCCTATCGCGTGCAAGAGTAGCCCAGTGGGTCCTCCTCGCTCTAGGGATCGCTGAGCATCATATCTTTCTTCTATCGCTTTCGTGAAGAAATCGGACCAATGGGTCAGTGGTCTTCCTTTAGAGCGCTTGACGTCCCGAGGAATTCAGTCGGTAACGGCTCTCGTCCACCGGTTGTTGTTAAAGCGCATCACGTGTCCGGCCCACCTTAATTTCGATATCCTGGCGTGTAGAACGGCTTCTCTGATTCTCGACTGTTAACGTAGGTCGGAACTTCGGATCCTTTCTCTCATTTGCGAGATACGGGAGACTCCTAGCATCGACCTTTCGACTGCGCGTTCGATAACGCCAGGTGATCTTTCATCCTGCTTACGTAGCGACCAGGTTTCTGCTGCATACGTTAGGGCAGGGATAATTGTCGAGTCGAAAAGGTGAGCACGGAGTCGGATGTTCTTTGTCCTCCTTACTACATCCTCGATGCTCTTAACCGTTCTCCAAGCCGCTCGTTTCCTCCTGCTCAACTCTGGAGCTAGGTCGTTCATGATGTTGATTCCAGACCTAGATAGACGTAACTGGACCATTCGGAGATTGTCGTTCCGTTGAGCGTGAATGGGGCATTCGAAACCCATCCGTTCCTCATGAACATTGTTTTCGTTAGATTTAGTTCAAGACCAATCTTTCTACAGGCGTGATCGAAATCGGTCAACATTCGTTCCGCTTGACTGATGTTTGGTGTTATAAGAACGATATCGTCAGCAAAGCGAAGATGGTATGATTGTCGACCGTCAATTTTCACTCCCACATCGTCCCATTCAATTACTCGCATGACCTTTCGTAGGGTGGCAGTGAATAATTTTGGCGAAATTGTATCGCCTTGTCGAACCCCTCTTCTTACGTCAATGGTGATATTGTTGTAGAATGGAAATATTTTGGTCGTGAAATCTTTATGAAGCTCACGAAGGATCATTATGTACCGAGTAGGGACGCTTTGGTTATCCAGAGCCTCTATAACCGCTTCTTTTCCCACTGAATCAAAGGTTTTCTTCAGATCGATGAAAGTGAGACAGAGTGCTTGCTTGTACTCTTGTGAAACGTCAGTGAGTCTTGTAATCGTGTGGATGTGGTCCATGGTAATAAATCCTTTTCGGAACCCTGCTTGTTCGCATGGCTGTCCTTCGTCCAGTGTTCTGTCAATCCTGTATAGGATGACTCGAGTAAAGAGTTTAAAAACAACGGACAGCAAGCAGACTGGGCGATAATTGCCCATGTCGTGAAGGTCTCCCTTTTTGAACAACAATACGGTCTTGCTAGTTTTCCATTGAATAGGAACCTTGCATTCTGACAGGAAGCGAGTGAAGAGCCGAGCCACGGTATTAATGAGAACTGGCGTCAGGTTCTTCAGGTGTTCTGGTCTAATCCTGTCTGGACCGGATGTTGTTCTGTTCTCCACCGACGATATAGCATGTCGGATTTCGGAAGGGAGGACCGGTGGAACGACATATTCGTCCTCTTTCAATTTATATGACGGTAAGAGGACATGGATAGCAAAGAGATCCAAGTAGTATTGGCGTATGATTTTCTCCAAAGCCCTTCTCGAGTTGGCAAAGTCTCGCTGGGATTTGCAAATGCTATTCCCAGCTTCTGCAGCTTTTGCCACAACTACTGCTCTCTCTCTTTGAGGTCTTCTTTTATCGCTTCTCTGCAGCGTTTCGCAAGTTCGGACGTGAGGTTTCGGTTGCCTGCACCTCGTGCGATTTCACGTTGACGTATCAGCTCGAGTGTCTGCGGAGACAAGCGTCTCTTCGTGACTTTAGGACTCTCGGCTTTCATAGCGCTAACGTGAAGATATTCAACGAGTTGATCGTATTCTTCGTCGATGTTGTCGACAACGGCATCTTCCCAAGAGCCGACTAATGATTTGAATACATCCCAGTTTATGGTAGTTCTGGGACTTCGTTGCTTGAATTTAGCGGCTTCCTCTCCTCTCCTCGAAAAACGGAACGTTACGCGAAGGAGGCGATGGTCTGATCCCGTGTAGAACTTAGAAAAAACAGCGACATCGGTCAGGCAAAACCTTCGATTTACTAGATATGATCTATTTCGTTATGGTACTCTCCATTGGGAGACTCCCACGTCCATCGCTGAGAGAGAGGCTTTTGGAATTGCGAGTTACCATGGATGGTTTGGGTCGTCATGATAAACTCGGATAGCCTCTCACCCTGTTTATTCCATTCTAGTCCGTGGGTCCCTATGTGCCGTTCTTCAGACGTTCTTCTAGGTCCAATTTTTGCGTTAAAATCTCCGACAATGACCTTGAAGAATGTATGATCTTCTCTGAAGAATTTTTCGAGGTCCATATAGAACGCTTCGACTTCGTCTTCGTCATAGCTTGATGTTGGTGTGTAAGCAACGAAGATGGTCAAAGCCGGCATAGAACCACATCGTTTCTACCGTAACCGTCCGATACGGGTTGTTAGTTGTTCAAACGAATCAATGTTCACGGTCAAATTCGATTTGACGAGGATGCCAACGTCGCCGACACCTTTGCGATCGCATGTACCAAGGAACAGTTCTTCTCCGGTGTCATTAACAGCATGAAAAGGATGGCGCCTTCTCGTCTCAGCCAGGCCAATGACGTCGTACCTTATTCTTCTTTCTTGAATCAATTGATCTTCTACAGCGGATTCGTGAGCAAGGGTTCTTGCGTTGTAGATACAGATCGTCATTTTAGTCCTTTTCGTCATTAGTCGTTTTAGTACTGTAAGTAATCTGATTATACTGATTTATTAACGTTATTTTATTCTACCTAACCCGATATTTCAATTTGAGTGAGCAGATTTCAGTACTCATTGCATTCGATTCGTCCCCAGGCATCCATAATCCCGAACGTCTTCGAACATTTCGCGTGTTCTTTGGGCTGCTGCTTGAAGAATTTGTTTTTTTTTTCATCAATATCGTACCAATTACTAATCGCACCAAATCTCATTGAAATGGTGAAAGTAGCCAGGCTCCTAAGTGATTACAAGACTGTCGGAAGATGATCTCAAACCGACACCTTGCTTGCTATTAACCTGCCACTGAGCTCTCGGCCACCACCCACTTAATTATATGAGTAGTTTCCAATCGAATATGTTTGAGACCTCGCTAAAAAATTCAGTAGTCTGATAGAATGTGTTAAGCCTTTTAGAGTTCTGGTATGGCATCCCTAGTATGATGAGGCGTGTGAGAATTCGTCGAAACGTACACAGACCACTACAGAATCCGTAGCGGACCTCTGAAAAGCTTGAAACATTCTCAGACTATGATTAAGTAGTGCTAATGGAATACGTCTGAACTCTGAAAAGCGCATTCACTGAAATGTCAGTCAGCAAATCATAGATACAACAACAACATCCACAACTAATACCAACCTCGTGTCAAATTCACAAGGGCAGTTCCTAAGATTTACATATGTTAATTGTCAATGTCAAGTTTTATGAAAGGTTAATCTCACAAGTTATTACGAATTGAAGTATTATATATTCCTTAACCTTTTCACCATCACTTGCACACATTTTACAAGCTACCCTTTGACTTTGTCCCTCTGGAACCATTTTTGTAGCCCTTTATGCCCTTTTGAGTCCATTTTCCATCTTGTGGACCTGAAGATCGAACGAACATCTCGAGGAACAAGCCTGACGAATATTCACTGACTACTGATTACTAGAAACTGATGTTTGGATGATAAACTAGATTATAATACTGGTTTCAGTGCGATCATGAGTCACGCTGTGATTTACTGGTCGTGGAAAGGTGTCTGTCCTTTTTTTATACTGGAAGGGCATTCAGTTCTCACTATCTGTTAATGTTTTAGTTTTATTGTCTTCCGAAGAAGACCGAAGTGGAATGCGTAAACCAACATTCAGTCAGACGCTCAAAGTGCTCTTCAATTAGTCAGCATGAAAATGGATTTATTATAGAAATCTAAACAGTTTACTGGGCAATGCACATTTTTTCGTTTCTCCTCTTACACCTAAAAGTGTTGAAAGGAGTGCAAAAGATTCGACATCAGGCGGGAGTTGAATACGCGTCTCAGCCCTACCGAAGACGCGTGGTACCACTATACCATCGATGCCACCGCTTTGCTGACACTCTTTCTTCGATTTGAATTGTAGCTGTCGATAATTTATATTGAAGAAAGAGTGTTAGCAGAGCCGCGGATATCGGTCGTGCAGTGATAGCACACGCCTCTGGCGGATATCGGTCGTGTAGTGATAGCACTCGCCTCTGGAGTATATCGGTCATGTAGTGGTAGCAAGCGCTTCAAATATGTGTGAACGCGTGTTCAACTCCCGCCTGACGTTGAATGCTTTGCATACCCTTTATACTCTATTAGGCATCTAGAGATAATACTTTCATGTAGTGAATTTAAGGTAAAATTGAAGAAAAACTGAAGAGCTGTGAACTATGTCTCTGGGAAGCTGGAGAGAATGAAGAATAAGTAAAAATCCATAAATATTCTCAATAACGTTGCGTTATCTAAGACTTGGACTTTTTTTGAGCCAATCATAAGAATGTCAAGATCTGCACTTTCTTCCTTCTCTATACCTACAATATTTCTGGGTTATTTTCAATTCTGCGAAGTTATTCAACATCTTCTTGGAAACCTTCACACTCATGATGGTGTGAATCTTTGTATCATGAGAAATGCAATAACTTTTTTCGCTCAGAACATTCGCAAATTCCGATTTTATGTCACCCATTTCGTCTCAACCTTTTTCACATTTCGTTATCGAGCGAGATTTTCTATTCTCCTGTGCAAATGATTTTCCTGTT